GCAAACCCTTCCTTGTTCTTTCCAAACGATAACTTTATAAAAATAGTAGATTTAAAACAATTTAAGTAAATGAGAACTACTGACATTTTTGGTTCTGACCTGACACCCAGTGGATCTACTAAAGAAAGGGTGGGTGGGCAGGTGGAAATGGAAAAATAATGGCCCTTAATGTTGCACTTCCTTTTTTACTGGTCCTCCTGTAGATATTTTTCTGACATTTCTAACAGTGAGCCCTTAAAGTCTGAAATATACTTAGCACTTGAAAAATATAAACTGTGCTTTTTCTTATATTTGCAAGGCATGTATGACATTGTTTATTGATTAATAAATTCTAAGACTATCAAATTCCCCAGGTATAACTTGTCATTTTGTTGGCTAAAACATTTGTGTTATAATTTTTAAAAGACAGCCAGAATTTACTGTCCAGGAGAGAGAGAGAGAGAGAGAGAGAGAGAGAGAGAGAGAGAGAGAATGCAGGGTCCCAGATATATGGCATACATTAGAATAAGGAGTAATTTGATGGTAGCAAAAGTCTAAATTGCAATGTAAATCAATTTCTTTTAGTAACTACCTAAAAGACAGATAAGCCTTCTAAAAATAATAAAATGATTAAACCAAATTACCTTAACTCTGTTGCCTTTTTGGAAACACTCAAAAAATCCTATGAATTTACTAATATAAATAATTATTCAGCAAGTAAATAAATGACAAAGAATATACAAATCTGCCATGTAGAATTCCAACTCACTAATGCAATTAATCTGTCCTCAAGGAAATAGAGCATAACTTCCCACTCCTTAAGTGTAGCTGTGCATCAGGGCTTCCAGAGAACACAGCTTGGATAAGGGAAGTAAAGGGTAATGTTAGCCCTAGCTGGTTTGGCTCAATGGACAGAGCATTGGCCTGTGGACTGAAGAGTCCTATGATTCCAGAGACACCAAGGTAGAATGTATAGTATAGATAGTATAGTATAGTATAGTATAGTATAGTATAGTAGAGAGAGAGAGAGAGAGAGAGAGATAAAGAGAGAGATAGATATTATATAAAAAGCCTGTGGTCATCACGCCACCATGCCTCAACGACTGATCAGCAGGAGGCTGCATGCGCAGGGTGGGGGGGACTGCGTGTGTGGCAAGGTGTACACAGGTGGGCAGGGACTTGACTCTGGAGGACTTGACTGGAGGCACGGATGGGTTTCTGGGTCCTGCTAGGATGGCAGGTGGGTTTCTGGGTCCTACCTCCCACGGCGGCAGCGGTGGTGGTGGTGGTGGCGGCGGCTGCAGCAGCAGCTGCGGAACTCTTTCTGGGTCCCACTGAGCTGCAGGACTCTGGGTCCTGGGTCTTGCATGATTTTGCACGATGGGCCCTTAGTATATATATAAAAAGAAATTTTAAAGTGAAGAAACCTGATAAATTCTACTTCTACCAACTAATCAAAATTAACAACAGTGATGTCATGTTGATAATATGTACACTAGATATAATGTGATGAGCCCAAAGATCATAATCTTAGTGTAACCATATTTAGACAAATCCCAAATGAGGGACCTTTTCCAAAATACTTAGCCAATACTCTTTAAAACTGCCAGTCATGAAAAACAAGGAAAATCTGCCCAGCCAGTGTGACTCAGTGGTCATATCAACCTATGAACCAGGTCACAGTTGGATTCCCATTCAGGGCAGAAACCAGGGTAGCAGGCACTATCCCCAGTAGGGAGAGTGCAGGAGGCAGCCAATCAAGGATTCTCTATCTTCACTGACATTTCTACCTCTCACTCCCTCCTCTTCCTCTCTGAAATTAATAATAATAATTATATATATATAAAATTTAAAAATACCAGGAAAATCTGAGAAATTATGAAAACCAGGAGGAGCCCAAAAAGACATAGTGACTAAATGAAATGTGGGATCCTAAAACAGAAAAAGGATGTTAGGAAAAAAAGCCAAACAAACAAACAAAAAAACCTCAAAGGAAATGTGAGTAAAGTATGAACTTGAGTTAATAAAAGTTTAACAATACTGGTTCATCAATTTAACATGTGTACAATTTTAATGTAAAATGTTAATAATTGGGAAAACCAATTATATGAGAAATTTCTGTACAATATTGCAAGTTTTCTATAAATGTAAAACTTTTATTTTCCTTATTCTAAGAAAAAACATTTATTTCCCCTAAAAATTACTAACATATTAATTTAGTTTTAATTTCTATTGTGCCAATTATATTATTTATTTATATTTCCATTAAAGAAAGATAGGTAAATAGATGATAGAAGAAAAATAGAATTTACTTTATAGATTTCATAGGCAGTCTTTGTGCCTATCTAATGAAATGCATTTTTTTCAATGTAACTGAATTTATAAATGAAATATGGTAGTATATCAGACTGTTAATATGATACCACTTGTCTATTAAAAAATAAAACAGCATAGATTTGTAATCTTCTACAATGGTATTTTTTTCTCTCCGTTCTATTTTACATATTTCCATTCCAAGACAGTGTAAGTTTAACTATATTCTTATATAGAAAATCAAAGTTTAAGTCTACTGTTACATGTTTTGAAAGCTCAACTGCTCTAGTATTTACATAAAGTGAGACTATAAATAAAAGTAGCACACATTGTTGGTACCATATTCAAAAATCATTCCCCCAATTGATTCAAGGGAGGCTTACTTTAATTTTATAATTCTAATTTATATAGGCTCAAAATCAATCAGTGAGGTTTTAGCCCGTTGCTAATTATTGAGTTCAGCATGATTACATTTTCCCCAAGGAACCATACAAAAATAATTTGGGGAAACTTTTAGTAAAAATTTATTTACTGATGAAAAAAAATGTATATGAAGGAATAGTTTCTCTTGTGATGAGTGTTTTGCTGTCTGAATCTGAAACTTGACACTACTGCAACCATGAGGGAAATAGCAAGTCACTTGAGATGTCTGTTTCCTGATGTGATGAGCTTTTCAATTAATCATTTCTGGAGACAACCTTCCTCTGGATTTGTTCAGAGAGATAAATATTTCCTTATTATTTGAGAAAAGTTCTCAGGGTTTTATGATACTGTATTCACAGGATCCTTACGTACCCATATTTTTACCCAAGTATAAGTTATTTTTAGCCAATTTTCTATGGTAACTAACTTGAAAACATTTAGATTTTCCCTCTCAGTAAAGCTAAAACCATTTGTGAACATTATACCTTGAAAGTTAACTTTGAATGAAAGTATAAAATTATTTTCTTTTTCATTAACAGTAGTCATGTATTTTTTTGGTGCTCTTTTAAGTCAAATACTTGGCAGATTTTTGCCTTTTACCATCTAAGTCCATAAGAAAAATGGTCAGGTTATAACTATAAAGAAACATATCATGCATGAGGGAGTTCAAATAGTGTTTATTCAAGCTCAACACTGGCTAATATTCCATTTGTGCCTTCTGGCTTTTACAAATGGATCATTTTATTGGATATATTCCTGGTTTTAAAAAAATAGAACATTTTAAATTCTTTGAAATAAACATTGCTTATTTCTTTAAAATTTACAACAAAAATTACCGATAAGTAACTTTTAAAAATTAGTCTATAGCTAAATTATGAGAAGTCAAAAGTTTTTCTTTTTTTAATAAGAAAGAATGGATAGACGCTCTAATAAAATGTTGTCGAAATTGTTATAAAATACAGGAATAGACCCAAAATTTAAATCTGGGCTGAAAAATTGTTATGTCTACAAACAAATATTTTAAATATCCTATAGCTTATCATACTGATATAATATCTCAGAATCACTTTTCAAGTGTTGAACTGAGAAGATAAAAATACATACATGTATACACACACACACACACAAACACAGTTATTTTTATTAACATTTGAGCATCCTTTTAAAGGAAGGACCATAATTTCTGTGGAAGTGGTACATATAACTTAGTTGAAACTGCATCTGTATGTACTAGATGATCTTGAACATTACAGGAAGAATAGGCAGAGGCACTGAATAGATATTTTCCCAAAGAAGACATACATATGGCCTACAGCCACCTGAAAAGAGGCTCAGCATCACTAATTATCATGGAAATGCAAATTAACACCCCAGTGCGATATCACCACACCTATCAGATTGACTATTAGCAAAATGACAACAAATAACAAATGCTTTCAAGGATGTGGAGAAAAAGGAAATTTTGTGCATGTTGGTGGGATTGTAAATTTTGCAGTGACTATGGTAAAAATATGGGAGTTCCTCAAAAAGTTAAACTAGAGATATCATAAAACCCAACAATTCCACTTCTGGATATTTACTTGAAGAAAATGAAACCACTAATTTGAAAAGATATATGCACCCTTATGTTTATTGCAGCCTTACTTACCATAGCCGAGATACTGAAGCAACCTAGATTTTCATCGGTAGATTATTGAATAAAGAAGATATGGTTCATATATGATATGAAATATTACTCAGCCATAAAAACTGAAATCTTGAAATCTGGGACAACATGGATGGACCTAGGGTATTACGCTAAGTGCAATAAGACAGAGAAGGACAAGTACAGTATTATTTCACTTCTATATGGAATCTAAAAATAAAACAAATGAACAAAAAAGATAAAACATAAAAAAAATCATAGATATAAAGGTCAAACTGATGGTTGCAGAGTGGAAGGGGCGATGGATGGTGAAAAATGTGAAGGGGAATAAAAAGTACGAACTTTAAGTTATAAAATAAATCACTGGGATTTAATGTACAACATAAGGAATACCATAGTGACTTTGTATGGTGACAGATGGTTCCTATACTTACTGTGGTGATCACTTCATTATGCATATAATATTGTAAGTTAACTTTAATTAAAAAAGCAAGATGCTGGTCTTTCTGGACTTATTTTTATCTTGACTATAAATCTAGGTTCAAATTATTTCTAGCAGATTGGCCTAAAGTTTTGAGAAATACAATCATAGATGTTATGTTGTAAGCAGAGTTTCATAACCTCTGCACTTAATGTTCAGGTTGCTTGGAATTAAAGGAAGACACCATTGAAAACCTCCTCGCGGCAGCCTGCCTTCTTCAGCTGCCCCAAGTGGTGGAAGTGTGCTGCCATTTCCTGATGAAGCTTTTGCATCCATCCAACTGCTTAGGAATCCGAGCATTTGCAGATGCCCAAGGGTGCATTGAATTAATGAAGGTGGCTCACAGCTACACAATGGTAAGAAAATTTAATATTTTAATAATAGAGACATAGTTGTAGCATCGAAGGCTAAATAATTACTGTCATTGCATTGAATGACTTTTTAAATTTTAACATAACTTTTGTACGATTGGTGCCTTTTTATTATGGGATACAATGCAAAACATTACATAATGGACTTCATTCTGGCTTTATTTATATTTTATAGACAATACAGATATAAATATTGTCTATTTTAGATTTTATAAGTTGCTTAAATGAATTTTTTAACTGTGCCTGGCATATCTATCTTTATACACCCACTTTCACAGCTACCCTTTCCCCCCCCCACTTATTTATTTTCTTATTGATGGCTA